TCTGCATGACCCCTTGCAGTTGGAGTTTCATGGCTCGGAGTTCTGCATCTCAAAGAGAAACGTTGTCACCACCGGAATGTAACGGGGGTTAGACAGGTGCTTGGATCGGTGGATGTGGGGCTCGAGGTGGCGGGTTCATGTCTTGAGGGGGGGTTGTAAGCCCTCCAAGTTGGATGGGTGAGATTGTTGGATGGGATGGCTCGAGGCTCGTTCCTAGTTGGGTGGGACGTTTTGAGGTGGCGGAGGAGGTATAGGGAAGTCACTTTGAAGTAAAGCATTGATCAAGGCTTGGTTTTGCTCGGCTAGGCGGTTAATGCTATTGGTGAGTTCTGTGAAATACTGCGGTGGGTTGTTTGGGTTAGGAGGGTCGGCTTGAGGGTCGGTAACGTTGTGTTGAGAAGCCATGGATCTAGTTGTGGCCATCCACCTTTGCGGGTGGCAGGTAGGGCTTACCGGGAGTGGGTCTCCGGGACAATGAGCACGTTGCCGCGCAGAGCAAAAAGGTTTCCCACAGACGGCGCCAACTAATAATACTTTTGTTATTGGATACTCCAAATGGAACGGGTCAGAATGATCCACGCTTCCCAAGTTGTCTTCCGAGGGATGAACCCGCAGGGAAAACTTGCAAAAGAGTTCAACGGGGAACGAAGAGTCCCCCAGCGAACCCTCCGACGAGCAAGTTAGAGAAGTGAGGGTGATGAAAATATAGAAAAAAGATGAAGATAGATAACTTAACCTTTTCTTTGTCTTAGAAACCTGCTTATATCCTTTGCTCATCATTTTCTTGTCTGCCCCGACCTGTCATGTTGGCCGAAAGTCTATGTTTTAGCTCGCCTTGTTCATGGTGAAGCCGTTCTACCCCGACGTGAAGGAGTTATCGCATTAAATGCTGAAGTGAAACTCACTAATGGCTGATGTGTGGTGTAATAACTTTGCAGGATCTTCGTCTGCTGATGTGGCTGGTTCTTCTCTTGACAGGTGTTCTAATACCATTGGTCGTGGGTGTAATGTTAGGCCCCAGCAATGTTGGGCTTTAGTATTTGAATTATGCATTGGGCCCTAAGTGGTGGGTCAACAGTCCTTGTAGGCCCACCTACGTCAAAATTAGTGTTAATTTTTTCAAAAAACGATTCTGATTTTTTTTTCTTCTAAACAACAAACTAAACATGGTTCAAAAAACTTTAAAAAAAAATTCATCTAACGTAATCTTTTTGTAAATTTTGTTGACTTTTTAAAGAAATTTCAAGTTAAATCAGGTTATTTGGTGCTTTGGAAAGATACAAAGGGTAATATTGTCTATCAATATTGCCCCTGTAATCATTCTTAACGTTTAGTTTACCGCATGAGTTAAATTTTTATGCGAACATAAATCTAAAAAGGCAAGATGAAATTTTTAATTTTTTTTTTTTAAAAAAAAACTTATAATTTAACAAATCAAGAGAGGTGTAAGTAATTTGCCCTTAGTTTTAAGGTTAGTGTTTGTTTAGAATTGGTGCGTGGAATGGCTTATATATTAATCTTTTTTAGATGACGCCATATTTTCCCAACTTGATCTTTCCCCATTTGGTTATGAGAACGACATAAGTTAAATTTTGGTGTACCTACTAGTGGGTTTCAAAATTTTTGTTTTGTTTTGTTTTGTTTTGTAGAAAATTAGTGAAAAGTAATTCGAAATAAAATTTTATTTGGCGATATGGCTATGTCAAAAAGTCATTGGCGTCGCTAGAAGAGTTGCAAGAAAATTGGTTGAAGAAATCATCGGCAACAATAGGTGGTAGTGGTGAGATAGAGAAATGTGATATTCAACTAATGAATTATTGAATGAGTGACATATGTCACATTTTAATATAATTTGGTAAATTTTAATAAATAGATTTCCATAGATAGATTCTTTTGGGTAAATTGTGTCTGTTTTTCCCAAAGATTAGAGTTTGGACATCTCAAAAGATTAAAAAATAGACTTATACCCTAAAATTCCTTTGTTTTTGTGTTTTAGATAACAAAATTATTAAAAATCTTAGAGCATCCACATTAGGTTTCCTTTATTAATTTTGGAGCTATATTAGTTAAATAAGGCCTAAAAGAATCCTTGCATTAAGTTAGTTACAACAAAATAAATTTTGACATTGTTACAGTATATCACTTGATGTAGTGATGTATTTTACCAAGTGGTTCACCATCTGGTCATTTACTCGGTTGACCACTCAATAAAAAATGAATATTTTATAAAATTAAATTTTAAAATAGAGAGTCTGATGAAGTGTGTGCATAAAAAATAATAATAATAATAAATAAAAATAGAGGATTTGGTCAAAGCCTCTTTATAATAAAATTTTAATACATTAAGGACAGGTATAAAAAGTTTTCATTGAAATATTCAACACATATCACTATTACCAAAATATTAAATTTTAAAATAATATAACTTTTGATCTAAATATCGATTTTTAATAAAATTAAAATTTTTACAATCCTCTCATCAAGATCTATGAAATAAGATTCATGTGGGGTTGTTTAGGATGATCTAAATAAGTGCAGTTTTTGACTTTTTACGAAAAAACGTAAAATATGGGTTGGGTTTGAAGTGATGTGGTAGAGAGATGATGTGACTTAAATAAGATAGTGACTTTTTGACTTTTTTGTGTTATGCCAAACTAGGCCTGAGTATGAAATTCTTTAAATTTTTTTTTATTACCGTCAAGACTTTTGTAAATAGTAACATGTTATCCTGATTCATAGTAACATGTTACTCTAGTAATATTATCCAAGAAAAAAAATAAAATTTTACTTTATTCTTACTCAATTATGCGCCTCCTTCTTAGTAGGTTTATGAAGTAAAATAGATTAGGTTGCCCTTTCACCAAACAAGGGTCTAATAAAAGGGTTTTGATTTTAATAAAAAAAATGCTAGCTAAAATACAAAAGTAAATTTTTAGTTATAATTTGATTCAAATTTACTAAATCTAATGTGGATGCTCTTGCAAAGGCTAAGAACCTATTTGGTATTGGTTTTATTTAAAAAAATTTGTTTATACTTACAAAAGTCTTATAACTTTAAAACATTTTTGAATCTGTTTACAATTTTTGAAAAAATAAATTTTTTTTTCATAAAAAATAAGCATAAATGTATTTAATAATTTTTGTAAGCAAAATATAACAGATGTAAACATTATCGAACTACACCTAACAATTTTCAGAAGTTTAGAAAACAATTTAAAAACAAAAATCTTACTAAAAAAATGTGACAGACTTTTGTCTCGGTTGTGTGGTAGAGATTAAAATGGTGTTACGTTGATCGTGTATGGAAAAAAAATCTAAATCACAAATTGATAATTCTGGATAAAAATGTTGGATTTGTGGTATTCAACAAATCTATAAATATCTTCTACAAAAAAGTGTATTTAAATTTTTTTTTTAAAAAATCAAAAATAGTTTTCAAAAACGTGATTTCTGTATTAGTTTTCATTGTTTTAAGTTTTCAAAACAGCGAATGAAAAACAAATATGTTTCGGATGCGCGGATGAAAGATAAAAAATTTAGACAATTAATTACAAAAGAGAAAGAACTGTGTCCTCTTCGTAATCTGAGAAGTCCCTCTTTCATGACTTCGTAAATACAAATGAACATACTACTGTTTTGAATTAAAAACAAAAATTTACATAAAATCTTCTCCAAATCAAATGTACCAATTAAACAGGATTGAAAAACGTTGTGACTCTTTCAAACATGTAGTAATGTATAGTCTTTTTTTGTTATTAATTAATGGCATATTCGTAGCTTCCAACACGTGATAAATAAAAAATTCACTTAAATAAAAAAATCCAGAGGTGATTCGAAGTCCAACATTCGTTTGGCATTTTTTCTATTTTTTTTTTTCACTTAAAAATGCACAAAATAGTATTGTATTCATCTTTGTAGAGTAGACCCCATCTAAAATAAATGTTGTGTTATTAGTACTATATTTTATGCCCAAAAATAATATTCAAACCGAATTTTTACACAAAATTTAGAATAAAAATACTATGGCAATGATATTCTTATAATTATGAACTAAAATAACAAATATTTTGACTTCTAACAAATATATATAAATGAGACATCGGTATAAATTTTTTAGAATTAATTACAAAAAAAAACCTTCAAGGTTTCACACATTTTTCACTTTAAATCTTGATGTTTCAATTTCGACAAATTAAACTATGGAGTTCCATCTATATTTCAATTTACTCCCTCCATCCATCTCTATCTGTGTAAGGTAACAGAGGGGGTTTGAAGTAAAAAGTACGTGAAATCTTAGGGTTTATTTTGTAATTAATCATTTTTTATTTTTAGTATTTTAATTTAAAAAAATGGTTAATTACACAAAAAAATCTAAAGCTTCAATGTATTTTTCACTTTAAACCCTAATATTTTTCATTTTAAACCATCTCCGTTACCTTGCACAGGCGGAGATAAACGGAATGGGCAAATTGAAACATGGATGGAACTCTAGGATTTAATTTATCAAAATTAAAACATTAGAATTTAAAATAAAAAATGCGTGAAACCTTGAAGTTTTTTTTTTTTTTTTTTTTTGTAATTAACCCAATTTTTTATATTTTGTTTGTATAACAATTACCCTTAGGACTTGGAGCATGGTTCATCCACATTATCATGTATGAATTTTTTTTATTGATTGGAAAGAAATGGCCGGAGGCCCATTGTTTACTTGAGCACAAGGCATTAGGTTTTTACTTTGCACTAATCTTTCTTTTTCTTCAAAACTTATCACCTAAACAATTTTAGCCATTGAATAAGCCTGCCCATTAATCAAGAAAAAGAAAATAAAAAACTCCTTCACCTAATGGCTGTTGCTGGGTATTTTAAATATTTATAATTTGAACACTCTTTCCCTCTTTTAATATTTGCCACATTCTCTTCTAATTGGACTTTCATCTCTAAAATTTTCCAAAGAAATAAAGTTGGTTCCTTGGCCTTCACTCCAAATAGGGCCTTAAATGTATAAATACACGCCTCCGCTGAAACAACCCTGCCATGTTACATCCTTCTCATACAAGCCTGCTCTCGATATTCTTTTATTCATTTATTGGTATTAAATTTTCTTCTCTAGGCGCATATATTCTTTCAAGTTCAGTCTTTATAAAGCACATAATAGCTAGCATTTTGTAGTATCAACATTTTCAATTTTTTGGTCTGGAGAGAGAGAGAGAGAGAGAGAGAGAGAGAGATTCATGGCAGAAACAGTGAAATATGCTGCAGATAATGAACTGGGTTGTGGTTTCATGAGTTCAATTTTCCGACATCGAAGCTTTGGGCCGCGAAAAACACCCAGAAAATCTCTTCCAACTAACGGAAACAACAATTCAATCAAGTCTCCAAACACCCATAATGTCAACAGGCTGCGAAGTGGCTCCGGTGAGACAACACTTCCTGTCCCTGCTAAATCTGCACCAAAAGGCAATGAAAACCCGAGAAAGAATCCAAATTCCACCAGTTCAAGGCCTTCAGAAACTAAATATCAACCAAAAGTCGAAGAAAAACCGATAAAGAATCCAAATGCCATCAGTTCAAATCCTTCAGACGCCACGAGAAGCTCGACATCATCATCAAACAGTTCAGGCCTAAGGCAGGCTTCAACTATCACCTCCGGCGAGCTGAGCCTGACGATCAGGGAGCACCACCGACTGTCCAATTCAAGCGGAACACTTCACAGAGCCTCTTCGGGCAACATTCTGAAGCAGCCGGGGACCAAAACTGTTTCATTAACAGACAATCTTAATAATAAGGCTCTGGATTTTCATCCTAGGACTGTGATCACAGGCAACATTGTGAGGAGGACAGGTGCTGAAAGCCCACAATTTCGCAATATTTTGGGGGGAATGATGAATAGATTAGACCCTGAAGTGTTGAAGTCTCTGGGAAATGACAGGTACAAAGAGGGTAGATTTGAAGAGGCTTTGGGTTTGTACAATCAGGCAATTTCTATTGATCCAAACAGGGCATCATATCATAGCAACAAAAGTGCTGCTTTGATTGGTTTGGGGCGTTTGGTAGAGGCAGTGTTTGAGTGCAGAGAGGCAATTCGGATTCAGCCTTGTTATCACAGAGCTCATCATCGGCTCGCGACACTGTATCTCAGGTATCTAATTTAATCTAATGAATTGAAAGAGGGTTTATTTATTATTATTATTTGAAAACAATCCACTTTTAATGAAACATCAAAATATTGTTCATAAACTTTCTAAAACTATTTTGCAGAAAAAAGTGGTATGAAATTATGACTTTTTATTTAGTTATTAATTTTTATTTTTCTTTTCGAAAACACCAAAAAAGAGAAAGGAAAACCAAAGTGACACCAAACAGTGCTACTTGGCGAAACCTGTTTGGTTGTGTTTTGGTTTTGTATTTTCTGTTTGCATTTTCAGAAAATGGTAAAAAATTATTTGGCGAGCTGTTTTTGAAAACTGTTTTTGATAGAATTTTTTTAAAACAACTCACTTTTTAAAAAAGATCATATAGTTTTTGAATTTTTGAAAACTATTTTCACACTGCATTTTTTGAAATTTTGGTTATTTTGTTGCAAAAACACACAAAAAAAGAGGGATAAAAGGGGTGTTTTTGAGAAAAAGTTTCGCCAAAACAGTTTTCAGAAACATGATGTATGACTATGTTTATTGTGTCGCATAGATTGGGAGAAGCAGAGAAAGCATTGCATCACTACAAACAATCAGGCCTTAAGGCCGACAACAACGACATTGCCAAAGCTGAAGCTATTAAAAAACATGTCACCGCGTGCACCAAAGCCATAGAGCTAAAAGATTGGAACTTATTGCTAAAGGAGAGCCAGTCTGCAATTTTTTCCGGTGCTGATTCAGCTCCACAGGTTGACTACCTCTCTCCACACCCCCTTCTTTTCCATGTCAACACGGAAACTTATTAATTAGCAGTCTTGCCATACTTAGTCTCCTCATTGCCGGTTAACTTTTTTTTCTTGAAGATCTATGCTATGCAAGTTGAAGCACTATTGAAGCTCCATAGGCACCACGACGCGTACAACACATTTCAGAAAGGACCTTGTTTTGATTTTGATTCTTGTACTCAGTTCTTTGGCCCATCGCGCAGTGCTTATCTGCTATCAATTCGAGCACAGGTCTACATAGTTGATGGCAGGTGAGTAAAATTGAAAAAGTTTTAATGTTTGTTACAATGTAATGTTGAAGCGTCATACTTGGGACTGTTTTACGTGGCCTAGTCTCACTTGTTTGGTGCGTATAACACTTGCGATTTGAAGATTTACAATATTTATAATGAAATGTCCTAAAATTCCAAATCTTGAAATGTCCTAGGTTTGAGGATGCACTGTCTGTTGCTCAGTGGGCAGCTCGACTAGACTCAAGTAATGAGGTAAATGCAGTTGTGAAGAGGGCTCGGGCTGTGGTGTTGGCTCGTTCAAATGGTAACCAGCTTTTCAAGGAGATGAAATTCTCAGAGGCCTGTTTTGCATATAGCGAAGGGCTAGAATACGATTCACACAACTCAATTTTGCTCTGCAACCGAGCAGCTTGTCGATCTAAGTTAGGCCAATTTGAGAAAGCAGCAGAAGATTGCACTGCAGCCCTTAATGTCAAGCCTTCTTACAGCAAGGCCAGACTGAGAAGAGCCAACTGCAATGCCAAGGCGAGACTCCCTTTGTTTCCATATTGAAGTCTAATCATTTAGATTTTCTAACAACATTTTGCTTTACATGTTTTCTGTTTGCAAATTGGTTTTATACCCACAATTTGTAAAGTTGACTGTTGGTTTGTTTGGTCAGCTGGAAAGATGGGAGGCTGTAATTCAAGATTATGAGACGGTGCTACGAGAAACTCCAGGAGATGAGGAGGTGGGGAAGGCCTTGTTTGAAGCCCGAGTTCAGATCAAAGAACAACATGGTGAAGACACAAAGGAAATGAAGTTTGGGTCTAATTTGGTATTCATCTCTAGCAACGAGCGATTCAGACACTTCGTAACCGCGCCTGGTAATTCATAAATTTCCTTTCCTTTTAGTTCTTTTTGCTTTTGTAGGATTTCTGAAAAATTGAACAAATTCAATTTTCCTAAATGACAGGGATGTCAGTGGTGCTTTTCTGCAATAAAACATGCCACAAGCAAGTGTTACAGCTCATGGAACAAGTCTGCAAAGGCTTCCCATCCATCAACTTCCTCAAGGTTTGTCACTTTCGAACAAAAACTAGAAATAAAAAGATCAAAAGCAAAAATGAGTTAATTTGATGCGAAAAATTTTCAATGTAGAATAAATCATTGGTGGCCATCATTGAATTGATCTAGCTAACAATATCTATATGTGTTGGTAAATTCAGGTGGAAATCGAAGATCACCCCTACCTAGCAAAGTCAGAGAATGTGAGCTCCATTCCATCTTTCAAGATTTACAAGAATGGATCAAAAATAAAAGAAATTCCTGGAGACAACCGCGAGTTGTTGGAAAGCTCAGTGAAATTGTATAGCAGCTAAATCAAAATAAAAACAATACCAACGATGAGAATTTACGCGTGCATAAAAAGAGATCACAATTTGTTTTTCTTCCAAGAAGATAGCTCACCCGGGGAAAATTGGAAAGGTAAAAGAAAAAAAAAAAGGGTGAATTTGTGTCTCCATTTCTCTGGCTTGTGACAAAGTTTGACAATGAAATTAGAGGAGACTTGGTTTTGTTTTGATTGAAGAATATATGCAGTGCTTTGCTTAGACAAAAAGTTGCAAAAGAACTAGTGGATTGTTTATTATAAGAGAAAATTACTCAAGAAGGTTGGTTAGATGAAGTCTAATCATACTTCTTGGTGTAGGCATGGGACGGTGGTTTGGTGTGGATTAATTTTGAAAGAGAATTATACTTATTCTGGTTATGGTAGAAGATTCCCCTCTCTCTCTGTACTATCATAATGAAATTCTCTTTAGTTTGATACTAACCATCATTATATGAGTCAAAATATGCCCAAATACAAATACTGGGTTGGGCCTATCAATCACAAAGTCAACAGTTAATAAGCCTAATCCGAGCCTAATTCGAAATAAACCCAAACCTCTAATCTCTCACATCTGAGAGGCTGCTTACAATTTGATGATTTCTCACCAATTAATATAACCCTATAATAAGATGACTAATGATTAGAAGAGATTCAACAATCTAATTGTTGGCTTATAAACTTAACAATCAACTATATGACCACCTCTCACTCATTCTTTTCCCAAATGCAAATAAGCTACTGTAGCTTGACTTCCGTACTCCTTTCGAATACGACTAGCCCTACAGTTCGGACATCTGTGATTCTGAATTTGATTCCACAAATGCAATGTCAAATAGATAAACACAATTGAGTCCAAATCCAACAATTTTTTTGAAAAATTGATTTTGAATCAAAATGTTAAAAATTGGCTGCTTTGCCAGATATAGAGTCGCTACCTAAATATTTTGAAAAATTTAGGAAACCCGAGACTCGTGCCAAAAGCCACGTGTCTGTCATCACCAAGATTGTCTCGACTCGGGAACTTAGATATTAGAGGGGAAGGTCATAAGTTGAGCACCCTACTCGCCCGATCAAAGATCGGTCTCTACTAATCATGATGTGAATCTTATTTATATTATATACTCTCGTTCCGATTTATTAGGCTAACTTATTACGTGTTGCACACAAGTATAGATTAATTGGCAAAAATTAGAACACTTTGATGTTTGTTTTGAAAAATAAAGGTTTGAATACATATCACTTAAAAAAAAGTAGGCTCATATGTACATTCATCAACTTATCCCAATTTGAACAACTAGCCTTCATCCACAGATATAGCACTTAAGCACTTAGCCTCATGGTAATCATGCTCAACATGGTAACAATCACACTTATGCAATATGCTAAAGCAATAGAGCTTACCCCAATTCCTGAGGCGAGCCAAAACAGAGAAAATAGTTAGAAAAATACATGATCCTAACTAATGAAATATGATTAATGCAACACATGCAATATGTAATTAATAGGCTCCGCTACTAATATGGCATTTGAAACAACTTGATAGCATGCAGTTTCAACATGTTTTCAACGAAGTATGTAACTACAATACTTTGTTAGAATGATGAGCTAAACCTCATGTATGCAAAACAAATGGATGCAAACATGAAAAATGCTAAAAGAAATATGATGTTCTAAACTACCCATTATAAGTGAGTAAATAAAAGGGAGAAAGACTTGGGGTTGGAAGACATACACATTATTACATATTGGCCCTCGCACAAGAGGGTCCGAATGAATGCCCTAGCTAATTACTACGAATTAACTAATTTATTACAACCTAAATGAAATAAATTAACTATACTAGCTAATTATTATAACACCATAAATTAACTAACTACTTTAGCTAATTAATTAAGTACAATACAAAACTAAATAGCTATTCTAACTGAACTAACTAATTAGTTATAGGTTTGCCACTTTAAGTACAACATAATACTATTACAACATTATTTTAATGGATCCCAAGAATTGAGGGACGGTTCATGCATGGATGTGGATTTCCACCCAAAAATGCTTTCCGTTTTGCTACCGAAATGCTTCTGTTACACAATCAGGAGATTGCACTAATTTTTCACCTCAGTTTTTGCCCTGTTCTGTAGGAAACAGTACACTTTCTTGTTGGAAAAAGTGGCCGGCCGGCCACTAATAGTGGCCCTGCCGCCCAGTAAAGGTGGCCTGTCGGCCACTGATATTGGATTTCTCCTGTTGCGACAGAAAATAAACAAAGCACAAACAGAGCATTCTTAGGGGATGTTTGTCCACTCTGCCTCTCCTTATCATCAAACAGCTCAAATGAGAGGTAGGCTCGATTCGCAAGCCATAAACCGGTGCAATTTCATTGCGTGATGACTTATGAACCAAGGGATACAATTTCGATAAATGCACAATAAAAGACTCTCAAAACCTCCTCCCTATCATAAATTGATCAAGGGAAATGGTTGACATTGATTCTTGAACCGTTTTCATCACTAACAAGTATGAAACAACTCAAGACTCAATGAGTCCAATTAACGTCCGATTGAACCCAAACCATTTTGTTATCTTATTCCATTTTTTAAACCATTGAGTACCCTTTGTTAAATTATCTTCCATTCATTAGTCAATTAAGTCCAATAATGAGCTTTAAGTCCACTAAAGGAGGGAAGTACCAAATCAAATGTTGTTTTAGGCATGAGAGGGAGATCATGCTGTTGGTAATGAACCCCCAAAGGGATTAAACCATTAAGCACAATATCACCCTTCAAGCTTAAACAACACTCCTTTTGGAGCAACTCTCAAAACAAAAAGAAAAAGTCAAGAAATGAGGGAGATTGCAATCATGAGAAGAGGTCCTGAGAAAACCACTCAGGGTAGCGTTCCACGCGTCCTAAAATAAATTCCAAACACGTAAAAATCGTATGAGGAATGGAACACTCAAACCACGTTGTAATCGTGAGAAGAGGTTTTAAGAAAATTACTCAGGGTCGCGTTTCACGCATTTCGAGATTAATTCCAAACATGCTGAAATTGTGTGAGGAAGGGAACACTCAAACCACGCTGAAATCATGAGAAGAGGTCCTGAGAAAACCACTCAGGGTAGCGTTCCACGCGTCCTAAAATAAATTCCAAACACGTAAAAATCGTATGAGGAATGGAACACTCAAACCACGTTGTAATCGTGAGAAGAGGTTTTAAGAAAATTACTCAGGGTCGCGTTTCACGCATTTCGAGATTAATTCCAAACATGCTGAAATTGTGTGAGGAAGGGAACACTCAAACCACGCTGAAATCATGAGAAGAGGTCCTGAGAAAACCACTCAGGGTAGCGTTCCACGCGTCCTAAAATAAATTCCAAACACGTAAAAATCGTATGAGGAATGGAACACTCAAACCACGTTGTAATCGTGAGAAGAGGTTTTAAGAAAATTACTCAGGGTCGCGTTTCACGCATTTCGAGATTAATTCCAAACATGCTGAAATTGTGTGAGGAAGGGAACACTCAAACCACGCTGAAATCATGAGAAGAGGTCCTGAGAAAACCACTCAGGGTAGCGTTCCACGCGTCCTAAAATAAATTCCAAACACGTAAAAATCGTATGAGGAATGGAACACTCAAACCACGTTGTAATCGTGAGAAGAGGTTTTAAGAAAATTACTCAGGGTCGCGTTTCACGCATTTCGAGATTAATTCCAAACATGCTGAAATTGTGTGAGGAAGGGAACACTCAAACCACGCTGAAATCATGAGAAGAGGTCCTGAGAAAACCACTCAGGGTAGCGTTCCACGCGTCCTAAAATAAATTCCAAACACGTAAAAATCGTATGAGGAATGGAACACTCAAACCACGTTGTAATCGTGAGAAGAGGTTTTAAGAAAATTACTCAGGGTCGCGTTTCACGCATTTCGAGATTAATTCCAAACATGCTGAAATTGTGTGAGGAAGGGAACACTCAAACCACGCTGAAATCATGAGAAGAGGTCCTGAGAAAACCACTCAGGGTAGCGTTCCACGCGTCCTAAAATAAATTCCAAACACGTAAAAATCGTATGAGGAATGGAACACTCAAACCACGTTGTAATCGTGAGAAGAGGTTTTAAGAAAATTACTCAGGGTCGCGTTTCACGCATTTCGAGATTAATTCCAAACATGCTGAAATTGTGTGAGGAAGGGAACACTCAAACCACGCTGAAATCATGAGAAGAGGTCCTGAGAAAACCACTCAGGGTAGCGTTCCACGCGTCCTAAAATAAATTCCAAACACGTAAAAATCGTATGAGGAATGGAACACTCAAACCACGTTGTAATCGTGAGAAGAGGTTTTAAGAAAATTACTCAGGGTCGCGTTTCACGCATTTCGAGATTAATTCCAAACATGCTGAAATTGTGTGAGGAAGGGAACACTCAAACCACGCTGAAATCATGAGAAGAGGTCCTGAGAAAACCACTCAGGGTAGCGTTCCACGCGTCCTAAAATAAATTCCAAACACGTAAAAATCGTATGAGGAATGGAACACTCAAACCACGTTGTAATCGTGAGAAGAGGTTTTAAGAAAATTACTCAGGGTCGCGTTTCACGCATTTCGAGATTAATTCCAAACATGCTGAAATTGTGTGAGGAAGGGAACACTCAAACCACGCTGAAATCATGAGAAGAGGTCCTGAGAAAACCACTCAGGGTAGCGTTCCACGCGTCCTAAAATAAATTCCAAACACGTAAAAATCGTATGAGGAATGGAACACTCAAACCACGTTGTAATCGTGAGAAGAGGTTTTAAGAAAATTACTCAGGGTCGCGTTTCACGCATTTCGAGATTAATTCCAAACATGCTGAAATTGTGTGAGGAAGGGAACACTCAAACCACGCTGAAATCATGAGAAGAGGTCCTGAGAAAACCACTCAGGGTAGCGTTCCACGCGTCCTAAAATAAATTCCAAACACGTAAAAATCGTATGAGGAATGGAACACTCAAACCACGTTGTAATCGTGAGAAGAGGTTTTAAGAAAATTACTCAGGGTCGCGTTTCACGCATTTCGAGATTAATTCCAAACATGCTGAAATTGTGTGAGGAAGGGAACACTCAAACCACGCTGAAATCATGAGAAGAGGTCCTGAGAAAACCACTCAGGGTAGCGTTCCACGCGTCCTAAAATAAATTCCAAACACGTAAAAATCGTA